CCAAAATTTTATTTTATTTTGAATGGACTTTGACTCATACGACCTTTTAGATTTTAAATAGTTACTCTTAATAGTTACTTTTGATTAGATTAGGAAATATGACAATTGGAGAGAGTGGAAACTTTTAGATTATTTTCTTCACTTTTACTTTCCGGTTTGTAGCTATACTTTTTTGGTTTTAATATTGTTTTCTGATTACCTGTGAGTAATTATCTTTAATTATAGGATTGGGGAAAATTCCGATGAGTTTTATTAGATTATGTTACCTTGTGTGATTCTTGTTTATTTTGATTTTTTTTTATTCTTATTGTTTTATCATTGTGTTAAATGAATTTGGCCTTCATTTGACATAATCATAGGGCTTTGAAAATGAACTGAAGGGTGAACCCATAACACCAAAACTATAAGAAAAAAAACATGTTTTAATTCACTACAGTAGAATTAATCTCAAGAGGGTAAAATAATCTAACAAATAGCCTAAATAGTTTAATTAAAAACAACTATCACAATAGTAGGGGCTAATTTGATTAGATACCTTTTTTATTGAAAAGAAAAAAAAATGATACATTAAATTAATTTGTTTTCAAAAGAAACTTGTGCAAGCACAGGATAAATGAAATTATTTTGTTGATGATTCGTAATGAGAAACTCGATCTTAAAGATATTTTAATTGATTGGATTTTGTTTGAATTGATTGCATATTCTTAATTTTAATTTCTCAAATTTATTCTCACCTCTAAGATTTCAATTACCAAATTTTAAATCATTTTTCTCCATTTTAATTTTTAGGAATGACCAATATCACAAAGTAAATAATATAGTTCCTATGAAGAAAATGATGATTTTATTACTTGACACTTGCAATGTTTGTGTATCAAAATTTTAGCATCGTTAGAGACTAACTATTGACTCGATGATTTTTTTTTTAATAGAAATTAAACATTAAATTTTTCTTTATTTTTGTTTTTATCTCAATTATTTTTCTTTTCAAATTTCATGTATTTTTCTATCGTGTGAAATTCTTTTGTCTACACTCAAATCTCTATTTATAAAAACTAATTAAAAGAGATCCAGGCTAAATGAACCATTTAGAGAAGGTTAAAAACACATAAGCAAAAAGTTGTCACTTCTCAAAATTTTAAATTATGGATGGCTGAAGAAGATTTGAACAAACCCTTGAAAACTTATGCAACCTAAATCATTCATGGGTTGCCAGTTAGAGTTGTCCATATGACTCCATCCAACAAGAATTAATACATGCCACGTAGAGTTTTTTTTTTTTTTTTTTTTCCCGAATCTTGCCAAAAAAAATTGGTGAGCTTTGGAGTGTTGTGTGTCACCCAAAGGGTGTTAATACAAGTTCAATCCAATGAATTGATTTTCATGACATCCTATGATCTTAACGAGTTAACTTTGGTTGCTTTTTTCAACTTTCTAACTCCCACAATTTACTAACTCAAGAAGTTAAATTACATGCTGAGTTAATTTGTCCTATTAGGTTGACGCATTTTTTCCCCCTTAACTTTTAGCAGGTTACGATAATATTGTGAACTTAATTATTTTATTATTATCGAACAATTTATTTGTATTATTTTATAGAGTTAATATATTATGGTTGATAGAATTATTAGTGAACTTATAATAATGCTGGACATTTGTTGAATATATGTATTATGTGTTGGTTATTTCTTTAAAAATCACTACAACATAAATATTTTTTAGCAATATTTGAAAAATGTTACTCAATTATGTATAAATGTTATTAATTTATTTTAACAATATATTATCAAATATTGTACATAGTCCATGTTATTTGTATTATCCGTATCGTTATGCCGAGCTTGAGCTCGGCTTCTCACGCGCTGGGCGACCTCGGCCAAGACGAGGTACCACCCCCATCTTAGAGCATCAAACGTACCAGCGAAGGAGGCTCGCTGATATTACCCAGCGGATCATCTCTACAACAGATCTCTGGTAAGAACATTACTAGAGATTTTTAATAACATTTTTCAAATGTTATAACATTTTAATGATGTTGCCAATATTTTGTTAATTTTATAAAATGATAATTAATTTTAATTTATATATATTACTATCAATTATTATATTTTTATGTCTCTTGAACTCTTAGGAGTTCTTCGAGAAAAGATTAAAGACATTCTTAATTAGTTACTACTAATTATATATAAAATATCATATTTCATTTATCGTAAGTATAACTATATGGTTATATATACTCTTTATGGGTCATTAATCTATTTAATGTGAGATTTTAATTATGGGTAACAATTAGAGATAAGAGAAATATTTTTTTTTTACTCAATATGAGACTTTGATTTTAGAAGTAATTATAGTAACATTTTTCAAAAAAAAATGTTGCAAAATAACATATGTGAAAATTTTTTTACTCGATATGAGACTTTGATTTTGAAAAAAATTTTAAAAAAATAATATTATAATAAAAAACGTTACTTTATCTATAATAAAGTGTTGCAAAATAACCTATTTATTTAATATATAGTAACATTTTAACAAATGTAAAAAAGAAAATACTAAAGAATTAAAATCTAGTAGTGAATAGGAGTAGATGTGTCTTTCTTTTAAGAAAAATATTTTCATTTTGAAAAACATTTATATTTTTATGTGGAAGTTACTTTATAGATTTAGCTAGAACAAATTATCTCTATCAATAACATTTGAATATACTCAATATCTCTTTAAGTATTTTAATGTTGAGTTTTGTGATGATCAAAAGTTATTTAAGGACTCTTCTTTAGAGTCATTAAATATGCCCTTATCTATAATATACAACACCATTGTGTATTAAGAATAAGGATTTGAATCTATTTTATAGGAATTTTGATACAAGATACAATTGAGTTCATAATAAATACAATGAGTAGAGGTTGATTTTTCATGATTCTTACTATTTTTGCTTTCACTTTATATGAATATATCATTTTTCGTTTTTAACATGTTTGGATCAAATATCAATAAAACTCCTAACGTATCAGAACCTCATAAAGTTTGTGACTTGCTTGTATTGATGTTCCGTCATGGAGTTTTTCTTCCTTTTTCAATGAATGAACATTTAATTCTTGGTCTCAGTTAATCTAATAAAATTGAAATATTGAATGAAAAATCCTTTTCTACATTTTCTATGAATTACAGCGTGCATCTTGATGTTAAAAAATGATTGAAAGTGTTGGATTTTGTTTTGGATTTGTGAGTTTCAATTATTACTAGATTTTAACTTTTAACAATATTTTCTTGTTTACATTTATTAAAATGTTATTATATATTAAATAAATAAGTTATTTTACAATATTTTTTTTAAAAATATCATTATAGATAGAGTAATATTTTTTATTTCAATATTATTTTTTCTAATTATTTTCAAAATCAAAGTCTCATATCGAGTAAAAAAAATTTGCATAGGTTATTTTGCAATATTTTTTTTATAAAAATGTTATTACAATTGTTTTTAAAATCAAAGTCTTCTATCGAGTAAAAAAAAATATTTCTCTTACTTCTAATTATTATCCATAATTAAAGACCCACATTAAATAGATTAATGACTCATAAAAAATATATATAACCATATAATTATACTTAAAAGATAAATAAAATTTTATATTTTATATATAATTAGTGGTAACTAATTAAGAATATCTTCCCCTAACAAATAATGAAGAATTCCTAAAAGTTTAAGAGGCATAAAAATATAATAATTGATAGTAATATATCTAAATTAAAATTAATTATTATTTTATAAAATTAACAAAATATTAGCAACATTATTAAAATATTATAAAAATACTACTTTGTTAATATTTGAAAAATATTATCTAATTATATAAAAATATTATTAAAAGTCTTTAATAACATCAACTATATACAATATTTTATAATATGTTGCTAAAACATATTAGTAATATTTATATATAATTAAATAATATTTTTTAAATATTATTAAAAGCTGTATTATTAATGAACACACCAATACTTCCTTTATTATTAAATACGTTAAATAAATGCACATGGCTGTTGGTTGCATGACATGGTTTTACTCTTTGTATGCATTAGGGCATGGGTTCGTTTAAAATTATAAATTTCAATCTTCTTTTAATTTCTCATTTATATTTTCTCTAATTAATAGAGTCCCATCATTTAAAAAATCTCACAAATATATGAAAAAACAATTTCACACTCAAAATTAGTTTTAAAATATATTTTTTAATCTTTTTCTAAGGACACCTGTTTGGTCAACAATAATATTGCAGTGCCTGCAATATATAGTTTGCTAAGATTTAAAAAAATATTAAATCATCAACAATTCTGTAATTTATGGTCAGAATCGACTATATTTAATAATTTATTTTATTTGTTGGTGCAGGCGGAAAAATAGAAAAAACAATCTAAAATTCCATTTTATTAATTGATGTAAAAAGGAAAACAGAGAACTTGAAGTTTTTAAGTAATCAAATCTACCATTTTTACAACCCCAATATTAATTTATTATATTACAATTTTTTTTTTACTTTTTAATACCTTTACTATTAGGTCCACTTTAATCACGTATAGTTTTATATTAGGAAACTTTAAACTATAGTTTGGGTAAAAATTTTAATAATCATATTTTTCGCTTATTTTTTTAAACACCTCTGACAACGTGAAAAAAAAATTAAAAAAAAAAGAATAAAAAAGAAGAAGCGCGATATGATAAATAATATAATAGCAAGATAAAGATAGTGGGTATAAAATATTTTAAAAAATAATAAATATGGATACCATCGCTTTAAAAATTATAAGATTTAGAATTTCCCAAACAGTTTTTTTTATTAGTATTCTTTTTGTCACAAAAATCATCATATTAATTATTTTGTTTTTATTTCTTCTTATTGTTTAATTTCCCCATAATAGGCACCCATAGGAGAGTCAAAAAAGTATTTTCCATTATATTATTTATAGGATGGCTTTCATATTATGTGAAGAGCAGCCATAAGTCAAAGAAGTTAAGAAGGGCAATTCATTTTTGTTTTTATTTTAAGGCAGAATATGTCAAGAGTTTGAACTAACCCAATCAATGCTTACAAACCTTTCAAGTTTTAACCATTTTCGGCTTTTCATGTTATTTGATGACATTTTTTTAAGAATAAATTCACCATTATCCACACAAAATTGGCAAAAGAAGAAACCGGTAGCTAAAGCTATTATACAACCACAACAAACCAAGCCATATATGCTTTATCTTCTAAGACAACCTTTTGTTTCCAATAGTTTTTGTTTCGAGCATATATTCTACAACTCTTCACTAGCATCAACAGCCATCTTCTAGTTCGGATATAGAACAAATCAGGAAACCAACAAGGGATCATGGAAGTGCTGGAACATTCCAATTTCAACATTTTGACAAAACAATGACGTTAGAACACATGCCCATGTTTAAACTTTGCATATCAATGAGAAGAGACAATCTTTTTAAGTTTATATATTACCATTCACCTTAAATTTGTTAAGGAGTTTGAGAAGGAAATATATAAGATCACATGTTTTAGGTGTTTTAATTTTTTATATGATTAAATTGTTATTTTGTTGTTATTGTTAAGTTTTAAAATTCTCGGAGTCAAGAGATTCTTGATAATTAAGTAGTCTCCAGGTTAGTTTTGGTTAGAATTAATTAGGTCAACTATAGTAGGGATATATAAGATTTTTCTTAAGGCATGAACTTTAAGCTCATGTTTTAAGAAAAAATAAAGAAAAAGTCTCTGGAGCTAGAGAAATCCTTTCTTCTCCTCATTTTTGATTCATCCTAAACTCTTCCTATAGTTGATCAGAGTTGGTAGATTGGTGATTTAAAGCTTTTGAAGCTGAGAATACCAAGTTAAAATCGTGCGTAGTTCACTTCTTCCTTCTTCTTTATCTCTTTTCAATTAGATATTCTCGAGGTAAGAGAAGTTTGTAATTAATAATTATTGTGTTGCAATTGTTGTTCTAGAGTTGGAATTCATTCATGTATGGTTGTTTTGATTGAATTAAGATGAATTAGTGGTTTGTTAATGAGTTTGTGATTGTGGAATTGTGAAGGTTTCATGTTGTATGTTGTCTTGGAAATATGTTGTATTAGTTATGGATATGTGAAAAATATGATTGCATGTTGGCCATTTGCTGGGTTTCAAGTGGATTGAGCCAAAATGAGATTCTGCTAAGTGTGAAAATTCTCATCATATTAGTCATGTCTTCATAGCGCTAGATGTGGCTCCAGTTAGGAACTCACTATCCTAATCATGTCGAGTGTGGAATTGGTAGCGTCAGGTATGGCTCAATGAGGAGGTCTCTATCTTCGTCACACTCAACATGAAATGAGTGGTGTCAGACGTGAGAACTTGAGAAGTTCTTTGACTTAGTGACATTGAACATATCATGCCTAAATGCCTAAAGAATTCCTAGCACCACACCTCAACAATTCAATAATATTCAACAATTATAAGCATATATACATATTATTCGATATCAATATATATATATATACACACACACACACACATATATATATATATATATAACTAATAACACTCATTAACATACAACATAAATAGTTTCCTCTAACTTATTCATGTTCACCATTTCATCAATCAAACAACAAGAGTTTTCAAAGTAAATCGCATTCGATGCTACACACCCTACATCAAATGCCATCGAGGTAGAGGTCCTCTGCCTCATCCACGTTTGATACCATTCAACCTGCATCTAACGTGGATGAGGTAGAGAACCCTTGGACCCTTATGCCTAGTGTGATAAAGTCCACACTCGACCCTAAATCAGGCAAAGATGAGTCTCTCATCTCACATCTGATGTCACTCCATTGATGCCCAATGTCAGTTTAGACATAACTAATTCTCTCACCTCACGCCCAATTCCATTCAAATCATGCCTAACATAACCAAGTCGGAGGTTTTTCTTTCTCCTTAAGCCTGGAGCCATCAATCCTATGTCTGATGCAAGTAAGATAGAGACTTCCTAATTTGAGCTACGCCAATGCCTTGAAGGTATGTCTGGTGGGATAATGAGTTCTACACATAACAGTAGGGATGGCAACAGAGCGGGTCGGATATGAGTTTCATGATACCCGTCCACGTCCCCGCGAGTCAAACCCATCCCCTGTAATGACCCGCCTAGCCATTACACAGCAAAACATCACCACATAGGAACAGAGTACGCATATAGAAGAAAATATATATATATACATAAGTCTAGCCTGTGGCTCAACAAGACAATATACAAAACTACAAAATAACTACATTAAGTAGCCATAAACAACAAAATCAACTCTAGTTGCCAACTGTAGTCCTGCTACTACTCTCCAGCCTATCCCTGCTCTGCTCCCATACACAGTATGATCATTGTAGTCCAACCCACATGGAAACAGGCAAGGGTAAGCTAGTGAAAAGAATCAGCATATAAATGATTATAAACAGCTTCAACTTAACAACACATTATCAATTTTGACAAAGTTAACATACAACACATAACAGCATACATCTACATCTCAGCTTCACAACACACTGCACACATACAACTCATATCATTCAACAAAATCAACATCTAACAGCTTATGCATCGTCACGCAATTCAACACGGAGATCTCCTACAACATGGGTGAGCAGTTTAAGTGGTTAGGTCCTACCGAACCGACAACAAAGAACCTTTTTAGGTTGCTAGGTAAACAACAATTTGGATATCAATCACAACTTCACGATTTCTCAGACTTTGCCACTTAAACAAGGAAGTATGGTACTATGTCAAGATAGAACAGTTGGGTTTTAGGCCTACCACGATATTAGCTAGCTTAACTAAGCCACCTATAAAATTAGTCTACCGACTATCCTCCAAATACCACAACCTTCCGATACTCAGTTAGGAACTAAGTTCCCGACTTCGTACTTCACTCGATTGATCGCTTGTAATCAGTATAACTCGACCTAACCCCTATACCGTGGTCGCTTTGTACACGTGTGCATCGACATTGCCCACACACGGGACCAACTAAGTACTTAGAGGAGAACAAAACAATGACCACTCCAAAGGACAGCTTCCCAAGGAGGGTTTTCAACAAATTGGGCTCTAAGAGCACCACAGCTTCCTCAATCCACACAATGGGATGAGCATCTTCGAAAAACATCTCCTCTAATCTTAGTAATCAACAACTCATCATTTCAGCTTAAACAACTCATACAACATACAACACAGCTCAGTTTAACAGCATTAACAACTCAAACAACATACAACACAACTCAACTTAACAACATTAACAGCTCAAACAACATACAACACAACTCAGCTATTTAAAACAACATATTCAACATTAATCAGCATAAACAACATTCAGCATTTTCATAGTTATAGAGAAAGACACATCCGCGCCCGACGCAATAGAATTTGCACCTGGCCTGGACCCAACCCGAGAGCTCTAAAGCTCTTACGCGCCTGACGCAATTTCAATTTTGCCCGGTGCAATAGAAGGCAAAGACTCCAAGGAGTCTCCCAAGCCTGACGTACCAAACTCACGCTCGACGCAAGTCAGGCAGAGACCTCACCAAGGTATCACGCCCGATGCGCTCATTCTGTGCCTATCGCCATAGAAGGCAGAGACCCCCATGGAGTCTCGACGCCCAGTGAGATCTAATCACGCCCGGCGCCATACCAGTAACTCAACTCCTTGAGTCCCTATCTGATATCACGCCCAACGCGGTTCTCCCATGCCCGACGTGAGCCATCCAGGGACTTCCATTCTTAAGTTCGCCCGCCGCAACCAATCTTGCGCCCGGCGTGCTTGAACAATGGAGTTCTCTGATGGATACACACCCGGCGCCAAGAACTACGCCCGACACAATTTTAAATAGCAACCCTCATAACTTCAAAAATTTCACCCAAAACCTACAAAATCAGCCAGCTCAAACACATGCAATCCATCAAATGAACCACATTTTCAACATACAACTCAAAAATCAACTCTTTTTCAACATGCAACCATCAAACACATAGAAATCCCCATTTTTCACCATTTTCCCGAAAACTCCGAAAACGAGCAACTCTTCAAATTCGACCGTCAACCTTCTGAAATCAAGCCACATTTGAGTTCACACACTCATTTGCAACCAATCCACATAAAACCTAACTTCCCTTACCTCGGAGAAGAAGAATCCGAGCTCCCGGGGAAGAGAAAAGGAAGAAGAAGAAGAAGATTCGGCTCTCAACTAGTTCCGCACGTCCTTGAGTTTGCAAGAGATGGGGGAAGGGTTGATGGACCACCTTGGTGCTCACTACCTCAGCCTTAGAGAAAAGAAATCAGAAACAAGGTTTTAGAGACTTTGAGAGAATAAGGGAATGAAGGGAGAAAAGGAAAAAGAGAAAGAGAGTGTTTTGTGTTGCGGGTCTTACATCCCCGTTCTCGTACACGTACCTGTCGGGTATATGCTTTTCATCCCTATCCCCGTACCCGTACCCGTTAATTTTTTTATTTTTTGTAAAAAAAATGATATTTTTAAATTATTATTTTTATTATATTATAATTATAATTAGGTTATTTTTCTATCTCATATTATAATAAATAATCACACATAAAAAAAATATTAAAATTCTTTAATATAATTAAATTGAAAGTGGGTATTAAATTAAAAATGGGAATGGGGACGGGTACGAGTACTGGTATGGGGCGGGTAAGTACATACCCATACCTGTACCCGTACCTGATTTAATATATCGAGTTTTACCCGTACCCGTACCCGGTTAAACCGGGTATTCCCCGTCAAAGTCAAGACAGGTTCGGGTATTACTCGCAGGTACGGGTATATTTGACATCCTTACATAACAAGCCACAAATTTTCTCTCATTTCACTTGAAAACCAAAAAATTGAAGCATGCAACAACACAATTCATACATACTCGTCATGAACAACTCATATCTATCCTCAAAATCCACATGCAACATATAACTTGATCACAACATCAAATTTTACCTCAAGAATAACAAAACACCATTATCACCTTATTTCTTAAAATCAGTCAATACAATCACCAAGATATGAAATTCAAGCACCCATCCAAGTGAAAATCAACATAGACCATACCCAAACAACAAGGGTTGAGACTAGCTTCCCTTACCTCATAGTTGAAGTGATCCAAGAAAGGAGAAGAAGAAAGGAGCGTCTTTAAGCTATCATCGAAGCTCGACACTAACACCAACTTGATTCTCAACTTCTAGCTTCGAATCAACTATCCAATGACAATCCTTATGTGCTTGAGGAACCTAGAAAGAAGAAGGAGAAAAATAAGCACTCCAGAACTTCTCTCTCTAGAATATCTCTAAAATTATCTGATAAATGAATTTATGAGGCTTAAGTCTCAAAAGAAAACTTATATACCCTTCCCTCATAGTCAAATTGGACCTATGTCTAAAGGAACTCTCTAAATGACCTAATCTTACGATAATAAACACCAAAAATACAATAACAAATAATTATTGATAAAATACAATAATTAGCAAAATGTTATAATGTTACAATACCAAAATTTTATTAACCCACATGAGACTATCCATATTTCTTGCTATTTTCTATTAGTGCTTTTAGACCATTGACATAAATAAATAAATAATTAATTATGAGTGCAAATGAACATCTTTTTACATTATAATTTTTTTATATATTTTTTATTATTAGTTAAAGTCATTAAAAAGTATACTCTTTTTTTTTTGTAAATCTCACTTTTTATTTAATATTTTCTCTCACAATTTTAAAATTTAGTAATTTTTAAAAACAATTAAAAATATATTTATACATAAAAAAATGTTCCTATCATTCTTGTTCATACCATTGCTCAAGATGAAGGGAATATGGACGTAGATTTTGGGCCGTGGAATTTGGTGATTCAATGTGTAGTGGTGTGACGACATGAGAGCAATGAGTGGATCTCTAATGTCAAGATTTGCATTCAAGAATATAATGACCATTCTTGCACAACACTTTAATAAAATAGACTTCTTGGTCTTTGTCAATCACAAAACAAATAATTTGGTATATAATAAAAATTAACAAGAACAAAAAGATAAATATATAAAAATTAACTATTTTAAACATTTTAAATTTAGATTTAATTATATTTTCAATCTTTTAAATTTGAATATATATATATATATATATATATATATATATATATACATATTCTTAAACTAAATTAATAAAAAGTAG